TCCGCGCTTTCTGTCTATTTTCTCCCCTCGATCTCTCCCTGTTCCCTTGCCGCCTGGTCCGCTCCCTTCTTGCCCACTCACTCCCCTTGGTGAGGCCAGCAACACGCGTGTGGGCTTGGGAGCTGCCTCTCTGTTTTGACCCCAGCTTGGCCGCTTCTTTCCTTTGATCTTGGGTCCACTTCCGAGCTTTCCTAGGTCACCTTCCCCTGCCCATCATGGACAGGTACTAAGAGCATCCAGTTCAGAATTTTGCCCTAAGAGTTAAATAAAATAACATAAAGCTCCCAGTGTAGACGTGGCAATTAATGAGCATGAGGAAAATGTCAGGTGCTGTGTTCTGGTTTCCTTGGAAACCCAGTTCTCTCTCCAGTCATTTTACCTGCTTCACGGAGCCTGAGAGGTGTGGTGGTCCCGGACCTCAGTACCCAGGAGGGCCCAGAGGTCCTTCGTGGCTGCACAGCCTGGAACCCCGAATCTCCAAGGCTACCCCAGGAGATGCGAAAGCTGGCAAAGGCATCCGGGCTCCATCCTGACCACACAGGTCTGCAGAGACGGGCCCTCGTCCATCAGCCTGTGGATTTCTGGTGGGTGCACACGTCTCCATCCACACCCCAGCTTTGCTCGGTGGTGGCAGTGTGACTTTGACAAGCCCCTAACTCCTCTGTGCCTCCATTTCCTCCTCTGTGAACATCAGCAGAGGTTTTGCGGAAGCATTGCGCACGATTGGCACCTACATCTTAGGGTTGGTGTGAGAACTAAATGTGCTGTTTCTGTAAAGTGCTTGCGACACTGCCTAGCATATAGCGGGCAACACTGTTTTCAAAATGTGGTCCTTGGTTGCCTCCAGGAGAAGTGTCAGCACCTGTTATTTTTCATGCCCTTCAGTGGGCAAGGCAGAGCCTGGAGAAGAGAACTCCACTAGGCACTGAAGGTGGGAGATGGTGTGATGTCCACGGAGCGGCCAGTGTGCCCTCTGAGAGCCGGGCACACTTGTCCCGAGGGAGGGACCAGAGCCTCCATGTGTTGAGCCAGGACTGTAAACATTTCCTCTCAACATGTAGGAGATTTGGGTTCCTTTGTGTCTTTTTCTCTGGAGATGGTCCAGAGCTTTCATCAGATCTGTCAAAGGATCTGTTACTCTAAACAGTTTCAGACCCTGGGTGCCTGACCCTGGCACAGGGACGCTCACGGTGGGAAAGGAAGAATTCAGGAAGTAGGGGCTCGGGGCGTAAGGGACACGGGGCCCATGACTGAAGGCGAGGGTTGTGTGCCGTTTTCCAGGGAAGAGAATCTGGAAAAGGGAGGAAAGCAGGCTGAGCAGTCAGGGATCCGCCCCTCGGGCACCCACAGCCCCTCCACCTCCTCCACCACTGCTGCTCCCACCTGCCCTCCCCCAGGCAGGTGACCTGAGGCCAACTCCACCCATGCAGACCCGCTGAGCACCTGCCAGGGAACCAGCGGGTCTCCGAGCCAAGGCAGCCTGGTTCTGGGACCAGAGGTCCCAGAACGGAGACGGGAACTAAGAACACACAGTATTCACTTTCTGCTTCTTTCCCAGACTTGGTGCGGGGAGAAAAGGAGGCAGCGGGCCCTTTTCTGCAGCCACCACAGTGGCTTCTCATGGTGTGTGGCCATCGCTGCCCAACCTGCTTGTGCAGAGTGTAAGAAGAGCGTCTTCACCCTCCTTAGGAAGCACCTTGCTGGCCGGTCACGAGTACACCCGTGTGTGCGCTTATATTAAGTATTAAGTAATTTTAAGGTCTGAAAGCATGTAGAGCTTTAAAGGAGTGCTCTAGACTGTTTCCTTAGTTATCTTTGTTTAGGCTCAGATTATAAGAAGTGCAAGATATGAGCCACTTCACTGCTGGGCACCTATTTCGGCCACCCCTATAAATATAAGATATGACAAAGTACATTTAGGTTTATTCAGATGCTTTCATTTAATATTCAAGTGCAGGAAAGTAGCCAGCTGCACCATTACAGAGTGAGTCCTGGTTCAAAATAGTCGGTCAGCAGTTGAGACTCGAGTTTCCCAGTCAGCGCCCACCATGGGCAGGCACAGGAGGGGTGCCCAGCCCGTGGGCCGGGACAGGCGCTCTCTACGTCAATGCTGATGAAGTAACAGCAGTACTCAACTGAAAAGCACACTGGAAAACATTACATAAAATAATTTACTTCTCATTCGGAACAACCCTGCACACCCGTGAGGCAGCTGTCCGTGGGTCCGGGACAACCCGGAGGTCCGACGGTTATAACAGAGTCACACACTTGGGCCCTGGAGTCACCTAGAGAGGAGGCTGTGGGCTTGTATGTAACACAAGAGATGCTGATGGGGACCCAGAGACAGGCAAGAAACTGCCAGAGACCAGGAGGGTACGATGAGACCTGCATCTTTAATACGATGGGTCCGTGGGCAGCGCTATGGGAGCCACACTTTGAGCCCAGGCTCTCGGCTTCAGCGCACATGGCGCTCACGGGGTGACAGATGCGGAGGGACTGGGCACGTGGGTGTTCACAGCAGTGGTTTCGGTAGAGTAAGAAGCATGTGACTTCCCGGCCACTCATGAACCGCTCAGGAGACATCCTGCACCTCCATTTATAAAGCAATACAATAATTAAAGCATCGTACAAAACAACATCATAAATAACACCATGAGAAATCTTCAAGTATTTCACGTGCCTTTGGAAAGTTCCTAACAGCAGTTCCAACAAGTGCCCATTTTCCCCCTTCCCTCCCACTCCGTCCCAGAGCCCCGGGGACCCGCCACGTGGGCCACAGCAACACCCAGGGCTTTGGGGCTTGTGGAAACAGTTCCCTTATAAAATGTCACCTTTCCTGGGGGCTGGCTCAGAGTGGAGGCATATAGCCTAGAGCCAATGGAACACAAACAATGTCACCATGAACTAAGCAGCCTCAGGTGAGGGCTGCATTCTCAGGAAAACACAAGATGAGAGGAGCACCTTGGTGGGGAAAGGGAGTGGAGAGCAACCTCAGAGTCCTGTGCCTTCCGCAGCCGAGCCTCCCAGCACATGGAGCCTGCGTTTCCCCACAGTCCCACTACCCACGGCCACCTCCCAGCCCCAGCCCGCCCAGCCGCAGATAACCAGGTGCCAACCCCCAGGCAAAGTGGGGAGGCCCGCAGCTCAGGGACTCATAAGTGTGTGAGTGCCCGCAGCCCAGGACAGCCCTGGGAGGCAAGGATTAGACTCTGTGTGACATTCGCTCCCTAGAATACTGCTCAGCGGGCAGGCTGTCTCGGTTAAATCCGGATGCTTCTCCAGCGAGACCCCGGAGTGTGACAGCCACTTTCCCCAGGTTAGCTGGCAGGGAGCTGATTCCCTTTGTTCCGTCCATGTGAGTGTGTGAGCACTAGTGATGAGTGCCTGGGTCCCTTCCATCACTGTCACAAGAATGTGTGTGCATGCACGCACACACGCACACACACGCACACACACGCACACGTGTACACACAATAGGTCAACCTCACCCGGACACCTAGAGTCTGCAGGAGGTGCTAGCTAACAGAATCCATGAGCCTGTGGATGTCACAGGACATGGGCCCACCCACCTGAGGTCACACTGCTGGGTGGAGAGGACTGCCAACAGTCTCTAACACTCCGGGCCTCTCGGGCTGCTGTTTGGAACCTTGCCCACATGGCACCCTAAAAAATGTGGGGGAACTGGACTGGAAAGAGGGCCTGTCCTGATGAACACAGAAGCACAGACACTAAATCTAGGCAGTAACACGTGGGAACTAGGCTATGGTGGACATGCCCCTGCTGCTCACAGACCAGTGAGTGGCCTCAGTTCCAGCACAGTCTTGGCCTTTGGCCCTCACCGCAGCATGAGAGTCAGGCACACTGGGGGGCCAGGGAAGGACAGTCTGCGGGACGCTTGGCCCCTTTCTGCTTCTCGGGCCACCAGCCGGAAGGGCTGGCCAGCTCGAGGTAGAAGTGGGACTTGAGGAAGCGGCGGTAGGGGTCCTTCTCCATTAGGTGGAAGATCTTCCTCTGGGCTGTGTCGAAGCAGGTCGCCGTGGGCGCCAGCATGTTCCGGCTGGTCTCCGCCCTGGTGCCAGAGTCCAGGTTGACCTGAGGGGTAGAGGCTGCTCGGTTAGACACCTTAGGCACCACACCCGGGGGCGGGCGGGAGGCTCTGTACCAGACCCTGAGAGTGTGGCGTCCCCTGTGCCCCAGGGGTGGGAAAGGACTTTGGGCTCCACCCTGGGACGTGTGAGCCACTACATGGGGCCGTATCTTCTGTTCTTTCTCACAAATGGGAGATTCGTCAGGAAACTCAGCTTTTCCTTTGATTCAGTGGCCTGCAGAGCGGGCCACCCCCAGGAAACTGTGCCAGGACCCAGACTCTGTGCCACGGAGACCCACCTCCTTGGTTGCCTGGACCGAGATGAACTCATCGTAGATCTTTTTGGCCTTGGGACTCAGTTTAGAGGGAGACTTGATTTTCTTGTACTCCTCACAGCTGATCCAGAAATCAATGTTCTCCTCGCTGTATTCCGACTTGAGGAATGCTCTGAACGCCGCCAGCCCGCCTGGGGCAGGGAGAAAGAACCGCAGCTGTCACCACGCTGGGCAGCAAGGCCCAGGAGCCAGAGGGGATAAGGCAGGGTTCGAACCATCCCTGCACCCCCTTTAGTGGGGTCCCTTGGGGTCAGGTGATCTATGTTTGTATCTATTGGATCCCAGCTGCACCCTGTGCTCCAGTGGGTTTGGGAAAGAGAAAGAGGTGGATTCTGCAAGAAATCTCAGGATTTGGAATTTCTCCTCTGCCCTTTCCCTCACGGTTTCAAAGCTCGGGCTCAACGTCAAACAGGCTGACTCTCCAAGTTGGAAGCCTGTCTGCCATCTGTCCTGTGAGATAATGTGTGGATCCAGGGCACCTTCACCCCACCTCCGGGGGAGGTCAGACTTACATTCATGATTAATCAGGTTTTCCAGTGATTCGGCCCACTTTTTGACTTCCTCTTGGCTCACCCTAGAGAAAAAGAACAAGTTGAATACCACAATCCAAAACGAGGGAAGGAATTTAAGATCCTGAATAAAATGCAGAGATTTTATTTTCTGACATAAGATGAGGCCTGCTGTTGATTAGGGCTCCCGCCCCCCCATCGTGCGGACATTTCAGATGCAGCGTTTTCTCCATGAAGACGGACCCTCTTATTCAAATCTAGCTTAACTGGGGCATCGCTTCCTTCTGCTCCACTATGTCCCTTCTGGGGAGCTGCTTCCCTGCGACTCCCCCCAGCCTCTCACCTCTGACCAAGGGCCAGCTTGTCTCTCCTGCTGTGGGGGGCGCTGTGCTCGCAGGAACCCGGCTTCTGCAGGAGCACCCCCAGCCGGTGCTTCATATCTTTTGCGCTGCACAGCAAAGAGGAAAAACAGAATAATGGTCATCGGCTCCCTTTAAAAGTCACCCTGACTGCAAGAGCAGTCACCGGGAAAGGGCCACAGGTTGTTCCCTTAGGAAGCGAAAGTGGAAGCACACAAACTCCAGACAAGGCGCCCCCACCTGTGCCTCTGCCTGGGACTCAGACAGAGCCCACAGACAGCCGGGCCCTTTCCCAGCCACTGGGAGGCTGACCCTTCTGGCCACCCAGCAGCCTCTCCTGCAAACCTGTCATTTTTGTTTTCACCAATAGCACACAGTGGGACCTCAAAGAAGTGTACTGAAAACTGGCTGATACTGGAACAGTTGCAGGAACTGGGAAGCTGCAGGGACTGAGGAGGGGCACCTTCCTGCAGCGCCACCTCCTGGACAATAGTTGCTATTGCCACCACTGGCTGCTGGCCTAGGGGCCGGCCCCCTGCTCAGGCACCTGGGGAAGGTGGCCTGTGATTCCAGCCTGGTGGGAGGTGGGCCGCTGACCTGCCCCAGGTAAGTGGCCACCACAGAGGGGCTGGACAGTGAGGCATTGGCTCTGCAGCCCCAGTGCCTCAGGCAGTGGCTGCAGTGCAGGGACATTTACACCTGAAAGGACACACTGGAGGCCTCAAAACAACCCAGAGAGCCAGCCATCACTCCAGCTCCGAGGAGTCGCTGGATGGGAACTTGGAAACAAGGTCCTTTCAGCTCAGCCTCCTCACTCTGATAGTTATCCCTTTGCTGCATTTCCTTTATTATAAAAGCCCAGAAATAGCTTTATAAGGGAAATATCATTTGGGAAGAAGTAAATGGCTAGATGTTCCTACTCAGAGGGCAAAAACAAAGCCACGGGCATAAAAAGACATTGTTTTGGGAAGGCTGTGCTGTTGGCTGTGTTTCCCCAGAAAGCTTGAATTTCATGATGTCTGGGGCTGCCCTTAAAACAGTGCTTCCTCTTCCTTACAAGACTGTTCCCTCCTCTGCCTCCCCACCTAGCGGGGGCGCCAGCTCCTCCTTAATGGCAGATGTCACCACGAGGGCTGCGGTGACTGAGTCTAAGGTGCTGGTAAGTGGACTGTGTTAGTCAGAGCAGCCCGCTGAGCTCTGGCAGGTACACGCAGTCATCTCACACAGAGGTGGCAGGAGGCCCATCCTTACAACACACTGCAAACCCCGTGTGACCCTGAGTCTCAGGCACGGAAGCCGGGATGAAGGTGCTGGACTCGGTGGTCTGTGGTTCCCGGGAGGATGGAGACCAGCAGCCCGCCCTGCACCATGGGGTTTACCCCCAGGCTGGCTCCTTGGGCAGAGCTGCAGTGCAGTCTTTCGTCTGCCTCCCACAGTAATCAGCAGAGCCTAACTTCCTCCCACCTCTGGGTTTTGCATGATTAATTTTCCGTGAGAGTTAACTGCAGCTTGGAGCCCTTGGTCCACTGGGTTCAGAGGCACTTATCTCACTTTCTGCCAGACCCTCCTGCTTCATGTCAAAGCACCAGGAAGAACGTGAACAGCCTCCGACTCCCGAGTGACCGAGTGACCAAGCACCTGAAAGGCGAGCATCTGGGAACGCACAGATCACTGTGCTTCCTGGGAGATTTCCAACTCAAAATTTATGGTGATTTCTACTTGCAGGGAAATGCGAAGAGGGTGCTTCGCCTACAGACTGGCTTCCTGCTTTCCACAGTGAGATGAGATGAGCGCATGTAATACGCACAGGTTTTTATTTTACTTCAGCTAGCTGGTACAGGAGCATTCTCTGAAAGCACTTATTTACATCTTTTTTAAAAAGCCAAAGACACAAGAGTAACTGCCTATCTTTATGGTTGCTGGTATTTTTTAAAAATCAAGACACAGTACATGACAAAACAAGGTATTTAAGGCGAGACCTTCCACAGAGCTCTTAGCCAGCCTGCGATGACCAATCCTTCGCAACCACAACCCACACGGGACCCTCGGGGAACTGGAGGGAGGGGCAGAGACGTGAGGATCTGGCCTGGAGCTCAGTTTATCACATTTGATCATAAGAACATGGACTATGAACAATAAAAAAACAAAAAGAGCACAGACTGTGGCAGATGCTTCGCCCCACACAGAAGCATACAGCCTGGGGGATCAGACCTCGCACTGGGGTTCTTCCCTTAAACAAGTCCTAGGGTGTCTGCCCTCTGCCGTCGGAGAGCCCAGGGCGTGAGTCTGCACACAACATCCATCCCGGCTGAGACACCACAGACCACGCCAGGTCGTCCAGACCCTCACCTCGCGTCTCACTGAGGCTCCCAACAGTCCTCACAACCAGGGTCCGTTCCAGCAACACAGGGGCTGCCCGAAGCGGGGAGCACACCCTCCTCCACAGTTTCTAGCTCTCCTTGGAGGGAAGCTGGGGCGCTGGGGCCCTGGGGCTCCACTGGCCACAGGGGTCCGCATCCCACAGAACCAGGTAACAACCGTGTGTAACAGGGTCGGGCTGAAGGTCATCTTACCTCCGCAAGCAGGAAGCAGGCAGCCCAGCTAGACCTTTGCACATCTTTGCAGCGGACTCGAGTTCGCAGGGAGGAAGGAGCTCGCGGGGCTGGGTGGCTGTGCGGGGCGCTCTCACCTTTTCCGTGCAGAGGATGCGGTCTGGATCCCAGCTTCCCGCAGCCTGCAGGTTTTGTCTTATTTAAAGCCCAGCCACCGCCGGGCAGCCAATCAGCAGCGCTGTGCCCCCCTCCGGGCCTCCGCAGCCTCTGCGGAGATCAGGAGGCGGGACTGGGCGGCCACAGCGCTGTGAGCCGCAGGAAAGCGTGTTGCAGAGCAGAGACATAGAGAGCAGTTCCCCCCGTGTCTCTACCCATGTCTGAGGCTTCGGATTTCTAGAAAAGGGGGAAAAGGGGCTTAAATGCCACAAACCATGGGGTTTACTCATTTTCTATAAAAACAATGTCAAGGGAAGTTGCCATCAGGAGGGAGCGGTCCCAGCAGGAGCTGCCGGGCTTAGCTGGGGTCGACCCTCGCCACGCTTCCTTCCTTTTATTTGGATTAGAAATAGCGGGTCCCCCTCTCACCCTCCCTGTTTCCAGGCTGGGGTCTGCAGAAGTGGCCTTACGGTGGTCACGGTGACACAGGGCTGGGAGGGGCCGCTGGAGCGCTGGCCCAGAAGAACAGACCAGCCGCATCTGTGCTCCGCCCGACTGTGGGATACTTTTCTAGAACTTTTTCTCAGAACAGAATTCAGCCCAGCAGTGACGACCTCTCTGCCTCCTGCAAAAAGCTGCAACACAGCAACAGGGACCAGAGGAGGGAGGACATGAGCAACTATAGGGTCCCTTCCTTACGTGTCTTATGAATTCTAAGTCTACAAACCAGATTTCAAAATATTGAGAGAAGGGGGGGAGGGAAGTATGTAGTTTGCCTTGCGTATCGCCATCTTCAGAATGAGCATGAGGTATTCAAGAAGCACCTGCAAGGTGGTGTCTTTTGTACACAATAGGATGAACTGATTACTTCAAAGAATCGAGCAGGTGTTTCAACAGTGTCGCTCCCAGCCCACGGTGAGTCCAGGGGCAGCTCCGTGCAGCAGAGCGGACGCTAGTTTCTGTGTCGGAGCCCAGCAGCTCTCTCCTGAACGTAGACAGGCCCGCATAGGACACGTGAGCTACACGTCATGTGTAAGAAGCGGACATCGCGCAGGATGGATGGGTGCCTGTGCACCTGAAGGGGCCCAAGAACACAGAAGGCAGAGCACTAGGACTCGTCCCCACCACATCCAAGACCCGAACACCCCACAGGGACCCCGGCTCACCCGGCCACAGCGAGCAGAGCAAGGAGATGGCCGAGATATATAAGAGGGTGGGGGCATAATCTCCAGAAGATGCGCTTAAATGATAGGAAAATTCTCCTGTGAAGACGAACTAACATTTACTAGATTAGTTAAGGGCAGCTTTTCCTTGAGGGGCAGCCGAGAACACACGGGTTCCTCCGGTGGCATTCCAGAGGACGGCAGCGCCAGGCAGATGACAGGCCAGCAAGCCAAGGGGAGAGCTGGGAGACGAGCCGTCAGAAGTGGCATCAGAGAGGAGAGACAACGAAAAGGGAGAGAGGGGCCCGGCCGGGGCGCGGCTGGGTGGAGCGCAGGCCTTGCACCTGAAGGCTGCAGATGCCTAGATCGTGGATTCAGTCCCTGGGCAGGGCCCATGCGGAGGTGGCTGATCCATGTTTCTCTCTCCTTTCTCCCTCTCTCTCTAAAATAAAAAACACACCCTGTGTGAGGATGAAATACGTTGAAAGGGAGAGAAAGGAGGCCACCGAGGGAGTGGTCGTTCAAACCGTTAGACCTGAGGCACGTGCGTGAAGACCCAGCAAGAACGTGATATCTTGGACTGAGATCAAAGAGAAGCCTGATTTGTCCTGCGTTAGATGAAAACAGCTCCAGCAGACGGGCCCGACGGGATTTAAGGTGATCTAGAGGAACATCTTCATTCTAGCAGAAAGGAAACAGGTGGGAGGTGCATCCCCAAGGTCACAGCTTCTGACCGACAGCCGGTTTCTGCCAGGAGGTCGCACGGATTTCCTGCCATGCCGCCTGTCGCTCGGCTGTCTCAACAAGTCAGATACACTGTATCAGCAGAGGCTTTTCCAAACTGTAAAGTGCTCGGCAGGTTTTTTTGATTGTGAGATTAAACACGGTAGGAAACAAAACACAATATTAATTTAGTGCATTTCATTCACAGGGGACTCACTCTTTCTCCTTGGGAGCCGAAGCCACAGCCGGATTCACTGCCAGGTTCACGAGTACCAGGTCCTTCTAACTAATCCGTCGAAGCATTTCACATTTATTTACTTCTTTAATTATGATTTCTTGCTTTCTTAGGCATTTTAATACTTTCAAGAACATTTGGGAAAGCTTTCCATAGTTGGCACAGTTTTCACTCTGGGACCCGACTGCGTGTGAGGGGGCCAGGGTTCGTCCAGCGTGACACCGCGATCATTCCCACCCTCTCTGACATAACAAGGCATTAGGCGCTATTATCTACGATGATTCCGGCGACATGGGAGGGCTTGGTTCTCCAAAGGTCTCATTTTTATTTATTCCTTCATTTCAGACATGTCTTCTAAGCTCCAGCTCTGTGGCAGGTGCCATTAGTGTGGGGAACATGCAGGCAGAGCCCACTCCCCCTGGAACTGGTCAGAGAGCAAAGAAAGAATTCCAGGCTTGGACCCATGCCCTCAAGAAAATCGACAAGTGATGGGACAGAGGGTAACTGGATGGCAAAGGGCAGGAGGGGAGGAAGTGGTGGAGTGAGGAGCAGTGGGAGGGGCCAGGGAATACTGTTCCAGATCGAAGCTGAGTCGAGCGAACGTGCTCTTTCTCTCTGTATCTGTCGGGCAGAAGGGGGGTGGGCGCGGCTGGAGCACAGCACAGGGAGACCACACAGACACGCCAAGGCAGCGGCCGTCCTGCAGCGACCTGAAGGCCATGGTCCGGGGGCTCGACCTCATCGGTGGGATGGAAATCCAGGGAGGAGACCGGAGCAGGTGCGGGCACGAGCTGGCCATCTGGCTGCAGCGGGAGGATGGCTGAGGGGGCCGTGGAAGCAGGCGGACCGGGAAGCAGAATCAGCCGCTGGCCCATGACTTTCTATGTGACAAAATGGGTGTTTATTTTACAAATAGGTAATAGATACTACGCTCTGGTGACCTAAACATGAATCGGAAATGGCCTGTGCCTTTCAGGAGCTCACGCTCACATGGAGAAGACCTTGAAATAACTGGAAAACAGTAAGTCGAGTGCTGTCACCATAAACTTGTTTATACGAAATTCGAGGGGCGTACAGAGGACAGGGAATAGCACAGCCTTGGAAACTGGGAGCTGTGTCTTCACAAAGGAGACTGTTAACAATGGAGGGAGACTTCACAGGTGTACACAGAAGAGAAGAGCATTACAAGAGGGGCCCAACAGGAACCGTCCACGTCCCCGGCACTAATCACACAAGCCACTGGCTTAAGCACTTTGTATTAATGACTCGCTTGTTCCTCACAACTCATCCTGAAAGAAGGTCCTAAATGATTCCCATTTTACAGATGAGACATACAGGGTTTAAGGAAGTTACCTGAGGTTACAAGTCTACTACACAGTGGACAGGAGGCCAGCTCCAACAGTCGGGGCTCCACTCTGAGCATCCCAGCTGCAGGACAGTAAAGGATCAAAGTGCCTGTTTGGAGCCCGTGGAGACACTGAGTGTGGCTGTGCATGTGGGGGAGGGCGCTGCGACCCAGAGGCTGCTGCTTGTCACACTGAAGTCCACATTTTACCCTAAGGTTGCTGGGGGCCAGCCAAGGTGAAGAACTTGGGAGGCACGGTAAGGAAGAGACGGGACGAGAGAAATGCAGTTTGGAGGCTACTGCAATAGTCCATGTAAAAGATGAGTATGGTAAAAAAGAATGCTGGCCAAGACGTAGTGGGGGTCAAATGTGGTGACACACACAGAGGCGCCGCTCACATGTAAAACGCCAGACCCACAAAGGCTACCCATGGCCCTGTTGCTCTTAGCGACTCATAAGAGCAGCTCAGGTATTAAGATGCTTCCTCTGGACTCCCTCAAAGGATGGGTGTCGTTGTCCCATCTTGCAGACGATGGACCTGAGCTGCCAGGAGTTAAGGAAGCTACTCCATGGAGTCACACCTAGGAAACAACAGCAAGACTGGCACCCTCTCCCGGGCAGCGTCACCTCTCATGCGGCGTGTCCGGGCCGAGCATGCACGTCCCTCGTCTCGGGGCTGGCTCCCACAGGAGGGAGCCTGTGTGGGTCCCTCCCTCCTCCGGGGAACCTGGACGTGGAGACGGCCTCTACCTCAGCGTGAATGCACCTGCCCAGGTCGGCTTTGAACGTCACGACTTTAGTCTTCACTCTTCGACCCGCACGATGTAACTAAAGTGAGTCTCAGGTAAGGAGGAGTGGACGACTGTAGAAGTCTCGTCAGTTCGTGTGGCCGTCCTGCCAGGACGAATTTCTCTGACAATGAACCTCACTTTCAAAGCTGCGTGTTTTTAAGTTTATAATTAAACATTTGACTTAGGCATGAAGAAGTCACTGTAGCAGTTTCTAAGAAGGTCAAGTTGAACGAAACACCCAGACCTGGGAGCCCCTGTCTGGCTCTGCCCTGCTCTGACCTGGGTCACCAGGGAGGGCCTCGGGGACACGGCTGGGAGACTGTCATGGGAACTGTAACAGAGGCTTGTGTGCATACAGCACACGACTCGCCCTGACCAACCTATGGGGACACCTGCCCCCATTTCAAAGGGCATGACAGTGGCTGACAGTGGCAGGAGCCGGGGTTGTCCCTCCATGAGCTGCCTGCCCCCCCAGATGGTTTCGGCAGGAGCGTCGACAGCTCGCAGTGAGTCATGAATGTCCTGCCTTTTCCCCTTGACACCAGCCCCCTCCCGCACCGCGGCGTGAAGCACCCCCTGCATCAGCTCGTCTGCCTGCACATCAAACTCAGCGTGCCCCAAATTGCAGTAATTTTCCCTCTCAAAGCGACTCTGCCTGCCCGGCGCTCTGTTCCCGACAGTCCACT